ATAGAATTGAAAGTTAGCTTATTCATTTCCCATGCGCTTTCAAACCTACAAATACACCAGAGGCGTCAGCTCAATATAATGCATATTTTTACAACAGGTATTAGTTCATTTAGCTGTATAAAGACATTACAGAACTGTTACTCATAAATAAACAACTTCAACATTTTTTATAACTCAGAATTAGATTACCAGATGGGACCTCATAGTTTATTGTCATTCAATCTCAGCACCATCATTGTGTGTTAATTAAAGTTTTTACAATTATTTGATACAACATATAACAAATAGACGCCCAAAGAGAAAATGCTATGATTTCAATTGAAATTGTTATTAATTTCACTTGTTATATAGTTGGCAGTCATTAAATGCAAGCTTTAGTATGATCCAAGAGAGCACTGACAGCTGAATCAAAAATATTACCATGTAAAGTACATTCTCAGTGTTTCAACTGTGAGTATTCATTACTGCTAAAGCAGCAATAACATTTTGTTATTCACATCTGACACCAAACAAGGTTTGATTAAAAACAAAACAAACATTGCTTGGCTTTGAAATAACACCATGTCAAGGGGTGGGGGAAGGGGGAGTAAATAAAACATAATTAAACTGTGGTTACCGGAATAAAACACACACTCGATTGGCGTTGAGATCTGGTAATCGTAATATTCTAGTTTAACAAAGAAACTTTTTTTTATGTGTGATAATTATTCAGCGCAGTGATTCTTAAAGGAATAAAACTTGAGAAATGAGAACGCACTACTCACGCTTATTGTCAGGAATCACGTACCCTAACATGCAGAGCTTAGGACCAGGAAACAAAATGCCAAATATGAAATAACAAGATATAGATTTATTACCAGTCCTTAGAATGGCCAGACTTAAGGTCAGGGACAAGCAGGTACATACGGTAAAAAAAACACCATAGTCCACATGTATTTCAAAACCATATTTGAACCCTGTATTTATAACCCATATTTATTAACAACCCCCTTATAGGTCTGTTCAAAAGTTGACAGAGAGAACTCTTCATGGGTAAGCAAAGACCCATGCCATGATTCCACCACAGCAGGAAAATTCCTAGATTGCTGAGTAGGGCGTTCTAAAATTTTCTATAAAACAATGAAGTGTAGGTTTTTGGCCTCCTCTGCCAATATCGTCAACAATTATTATTAAAGAATGGGAAAACCACCAGCAAAAGTCATCAGAACCTTGCCCTTAGTGCTGATGGAAAATAGGGTTGGCCATGACTGGTACCATTAAAGAGTTATGGAATGAGTCAATCTCTGTAAGCACATCTCCTCTAGAGACCATAAGTGTGTGCCGTACTCAGAAGCAGATCTCCCAGAGTCTTCTTGTGAGGACAGTGAGGACAAAACCGAACCCTCAATCTCAACCCAGCAGTTATAGCCCCTTGTCAAGTTACAAATAGCAAATTGAGCTGATCTGTAAAACTGAATCGTTTGGGATCCAAAATTCCTTTCAGACCTTGATCAAAGTGCAATCTCTGACAAAGCAGCTCAAATCTACAACAATAGTTATAATTGGTCACAGAAGCTTAAATAGATCTTCTAAATTTACATGTGTTGGTAAGGCTCTAAACAGATACAGTATCTTCTGTGATACCATCATTTTAAATACTAGCATATATTATTCCAGGTAGTACATATAGTAGTACATATTTCAGGTAGTATATATACCTGAAATTAATACTTACTAATTCCTATCTGACCACTACTGACTATGACTGTGAGAAAATCATTAGGTGTGCTGTTGTAGACCCCAAGCTGCTTGCTGGTTACCAAGGTATCTGTGATAGATCTCCTCCTCATCTCCATCTATATACTGAATGATTTAGCTGGTTAGACTTGAACTCCCTTTACTAGAGTCACTGTCCTATATTGTTATTTGTGGTCATTTGAGTTGCCCTTTTATAATGCAAATAAGCTTCAAAGTAATAAGGCATTTAATAGAGAGATATACTTTTTTTTTTTTACTTTTCTCTAAGTTTTTGGGCAATACTACTAAGAGGGATTGGAATCTATTATGGGATTTTAATAGATTCTCCCTGGTGGAACCCCCCTACCTAGTTGCACCCGGGGCGGACCGCCCCCCATGCTCCCCCCGCACTACACCACTGCCACCATTCATAGTGATTTCAAAATACATAGAAACATAGAATGTGATGACAGATAAGAACCATTCGACCCATCTATTCTTCCCAATTTTCTAAATACTCTCATTAGTCCCTGGCCCTATCTTTCAGCTAGGATAGCCTTACACCTCAGTGGTATTATATATATATATATATTTCTCTTTCAGTTTGACTAGACATTGTTGACTAGACCTTCAAACTCTGTACATACAGAGTTGGAATATCTTTTTTAGACATAAGTGTTAGGCCCTGTGTCGGTGTTAGGGCTGTCTGGACACAAGTGAGTCAGCCTTCTGTGGTCTTGCTGACTTAATAAACAGGTTAGCACATAGCTGCTTGTACTGACCATGTGTTTATTTGTATAGTGCTATCGTCTGTCTGTATGTCTGTCTGTCCTACACAACAATCCAGTGTTTACATATTTTTATGGCCAGGAACCTGGAAGAAAAAGGACATGTGTTAGAATGCATTAAGTTAATCATTGTTGCCCCACATAAAAATATTCTTTTTGTGAGCATTCTCTTTTACGTTATTAATGTAAATGTATATATAATACGTACAAAGCAGGAAACATGAAAGGCCTTCTTCAGAGTTAGAAATGACATTCTGCATCTTTTAATACTTTCGTAACATCACTGGACAATGTGAATTTATTTAAAAGAAAAATTCTCTTAACTAAGCAATCTGTGTTCGTTACTTCGTTCTTTATTATTTTAATATAAATACTAAAAATGATCATTTCAAAAGCTTTTTCAAAGTAAAATAAAAATATTGCTTCATGAGGTCATTCTAGAGTTCATCTAGAGCACTAAAAAGGCTTTTAGATATGTTTCCTTTTAAAATATAGCAAGCTGTAACTAAACAGACAAACAATAAACCGAAAAGTCTTTCCAGAGGATGGTATCCATAGGAAAAGAAGTGGCCATCACAATTTTCTATGGTTCTGTATATTCACTTTTCATCCTTTTCCTAGTAATTGGAATTCTAAAAGCATTCATTAGGGTTTCGTATAAAAAATAAAGTGCTCACAGAGATAAATGGACTTCCATCATCTCTAGGTAATGCTTTCACCTTAAAGGGACACACCGCTGCTTAAATAAAATAAACACATAAATTACTAAAATCACTGTTTATTAGATTTACCCCAAATGAAAATATGCATGTGTTTAATTATATTGTTTTTCATTGAGTATATATCAACACAACTTGCAAAAGCAGCAGACCTCCCCTCCCCTTCTAATCCCGCCCAGACTTTCTGTGGCTGTCCAATCACAGACTTTACAATGCAGCTCAATGGGAACTCTTTGCATGGCAAGTGTTCTAGGCAATTTCCTGTCTCTTGTTTAGTTCCACTGAGGTAAACAACCAGGAAGTAGCAAGACAGATTTTCTGATTGCAAGCTAGTATCAATGTTAAGACGTAACAAGGTTAGTTCACAAAAGTGCCAATTCCTAATGATATCTGCACTATTAGCACATCACTCTTCACACATAAAACGCCCTGGTCACAGACAATGACAACTGTACTTTTCCCTTCTCAAATTTAACATCAAACCGTCAAGAGGAGAGAAAGTTGGGACAGTGTTACTGTAGGGACAGCACTCCCTGAGAAAGTTAATTACTGTCCTGGCAAATGGCAGTGTTTTTTTTTTTTTTTTTTTCAATTTGACAATTTTTATTGTTTTTCAAGAACAAGTTCACATTTGCCGTACGTCACTCGGCCCGCACAATCACAGTTTATGCATTTGTATATACATTAATTTATACATTTGACTATACATTCGACTTGTACATTAGATTTATACATTAGATTTATGCATTGAACTTATGGTACCCTGCACATTTTCGGTAAGCAGCGTAAAGTCGCCTAGTTCAACACTTGCAGTGCCTGTGATACACATGTTACATTTGGTATCTTTTGCACCTTGATCATTGTCTGTCAGGGATTTCATGGTTATCTCTTGTATACAGTTGCAAGAAAAAGTATGTGAACCCTTTGGAATGATATGGATTTCTGCACAAATAGGTCATAAAATGTGATCTGATCATCATCTAAGTCACAACAATAGACAATCACAGTCTGCTTAAACTAATACACAAAGAATGAAATTTTGCCATGTTTTTATTGAACACACCATGTAAACATTCACAGTGCAGGTGGAAAAAGTATGTGAACCCCTAGACTAATGAGATCTCCAAGAGCTAATTGGAGTGAGATGTCAGCCAACTGGAGTCCAATCAATGAGATGAGATTGGAGGTGTTGGTTACAGCTGCCCTATAAAAAAACACACACCAGTTCTGAGTTTGCTTTTCACAAGTAGCATTGCCTGATGTGAATGTTGCCTCGCACAAAAGAGCTCTCAGAAGACCTACGATTAAGAATTGTTGACTTGCATGAAGCTGGAATGGGTTATAAAAGTATCTCCAAAAACCTTTCTGTTAATCAGTCCATGGTAAGACAAATTGTCTATGAATGGAGAAAGTTCAGCACTGCTGGTACTCTCCCTAGGAGTGGCCGTCCTGTAAAGATGACTGCAAGAGCACAGCGCAGACTGCTCAATGAGGTGAAGAAGAATCCTAGAGTGCCAGCTAAAGACTTACAAAAGTCACTGGCAAATGCTAACATCCCTGTTAGCGAATCTACAATATGTAAAACACTAAACAAGAATGGATTTCATGGGAGGATACCACAGAGGAAGCAAATGCTGTCCAAACAAAACATTGCTGCACGTTTACAGTTTGCACAAGAGCACCTGGATGTTCCACAGCAGTACTGGCAAAATATTCTGTGGACAGATTAAACCAAAGTTGAGTTGTTTGGAAGAAACACATACACTATGTGTGGCGAAAAAAAGGCACAGCACACCAACATCAAAACCTCATCCCAACTGTGAAGTATGGTGTTGGGGGCATCATGGTTTGGGGCTGCTTTGCTGCGTCAGGGCCTGGACGAATTGCTATCATTGAAGGAAAAATGAATTCCCAAGTTTATCAAGACATTTTGCAGGAGAACTTAAGGCCATCTGTCTACCAGCTGAAGCTCAACAGAAGATGGGTGTTGCAACAGGACAATGACCCAAAGCATAGAAGTAAATCAACAACAGAATGGCTTAAACAGAAGAAAATACGCCTTCTGAAGTGGCCCAGTCAGAGTCCTGACCTCAACCCGATTGAGATGCTGTGGCATGACCTCAAGAAAGCGTTTCACACCAGACATCCCAAGAATATTGCTGAACTGAAACAGTTATGTAAAAAGGAATGGTCAAGAATTACTCCTGACCGTTGTGCACGTCTGATCTGCAACTACAGGAAACGTTTGGTTGAAGTTATTGCTGCCAAAGGAGGTTCAATCGGTTATTAAATCCAAGGGTTCACATACTTTTTCCACCTGCACTGTGAATGTTTACATGGTGTGTTCAATAAAACATGGCAACATTTCATTCTTTGTGTGTTATTAGTTTAAGCAGACTGTGATTGTCTATTGTTGTGACTTAGATGATGATCAGATCACATTTTATGACCAATTTGTGCAGAAATCCATATCATTCCAAAGGGTTCACATACTTTTTCTTGCAACTGTATGCGGCTGCCCCAGCAGAGGCCTCCCTCCACCCGCTTGTTCACTCGGCTGGTGGTCTGTGTCCGTTAGTGAGTTAGTGTCTCAGGTATCTGGTCGTGTTGTTTGGTTTGTGAGTTTAGCTTTGGCTTATGAGTTTAGTTTGGGCTTTTCCGTTTCGGCCAAGCCGGTATAGCCTGCGCCTGTGGCGATGGTCTTGCCCACGGTGACGGGGGTGTTCCCCCCGCGGGGGTCAGAATTCCCTATCCAAGGGATGTGTTGTCTGCCCTAATTGGCCCAAGTCTGCCATGCCTGCCATTGGTGTTATTGTCCAGCCATTCAGGAGGTGTTTAGGTGCGGTTTGTTAAATCTGAGTTGTTCCTCACCTGTGGGGAGATTGTTTCCCTACGTCCTTGTTTGGGGTATGCACAGTATTTGTTCCTGTACCATCTCCTGTGTGCGTTTAGTAAGCGTCTGAGCCGGTTGGCGCTAGCCATGCGACCAAACAAATGAACATATTAACTATATACATTGTGGGTTACATCATATGATTTCCTTATGTGCGCGAGTGCCTGATATTGTGAGCCTGAGGCCTCGTGTGTTGTTGTGGGGTTGCAAGTATGTGCATGAGTCAACGTATACTGTGAGTTTGCCTCCCTCTATGATTACTCTTCTGTTCTCTGTCTCTGGTGATTATGTTGGCAAGGTGGCATCATATCCACCCGTGTTTGAAGAGACATGGGTGTCCCACTGTGCTCTAGCGTCCGCTTAAGACAGCCTTGTCCTTGGTTGGAGTATAGTCATTGTTTCGTAGTCTAGGTTTGTCGAAACCTGTTGGATCAAGAGATGCTGCGGAGGCGCCTCTGTTGATTTCCAGGCGATCTTATCGAATGTGTGGCCTATGTCCGTCTGCCATGCTTGCACATGTGTGTCTACCGGGCTTGCCCCCTGGTCGTTTAGTAAGTTGTAGGTCATTGCGAGTATTTTTCGAGGGGTGCGGGAGGATAGGTAGGCTTGTTCAAATTGCGTCAGCAGTGGCGCTGGGGCGTCTTTGTCAATGTCAGCCAACATGGATTTCACCTGTAGGTAAGAGAATATTAGCCTGGAGGGTAGGTTAAATCTGCCCTGTAGGTCTGGGAATTGTGCTAGTTTGTTGTTTGCATACAGGTGCCTAATGTGTGTGCATCTCCCCCGAAACCCACTAGCGATGATCGAAGGAGAGGTTAGCTAAATGCATGCTGTGCAGAGGAGCAGGTGGAGACCAGTGCCTTAGGGAGCATACTGTTCCCCCGTGTGTCCTCCATGTTTTGAGTAAGAGATCTGTGGGGGGCAGCCTCTCTGGCAGCCCAGGTCTCTGCGGCTGCGGCACCCAGAATAGGTACTGCAGTAGGGTTTTGGCGGTCCAGTGGGACTCAATATCTACCCATTGTGGTTGTTTTTATGTCGCATGTAAAGCTATCAATGTTGCGAGTAGCGCTGCTTTATAATAGAGGTGTATATTTGGCATGCCCAGTCCTCCCCTCTCTATGCGTTTGTGTAGGGTTGATGATGCTACTCTAATTTGCGGTGTCCCCAGATAAATTGTGTGAACATCTTCTGTAGAGTGTCAAGATAGGATTTAGGAAGCGGTATTTGTAGGGTCCATAATAGGTATTGGAATTTAGGTAGGAGGGTCATTTTTAATTGCAGATAGTCTGCCCAGCCAGGAGAGGAGCTTCCCCTCCCATGATTTCCTATAGTTACTGTGGAACAATGCATCTGGTTTTTGTTGATAGTGAGTCCCAGGAAGGTAACGCTATCTGTCCTCCAATCTAATGCGTATGTGGTCTGTAATGCCGTTGTGACCTCCCTGGGTAGGCCCATCCCCAATGCTTGAGTTTTCCGTATATTGCTACTTCCTTTTGGAGGTTCAGTAGCGATGTCTGGGGTTGAGTCAAGGTCAGTAAGATATCATCTGCAAAAAAATTTGCTTTGTATTCTTTATTCCCAATTTGGACCCCATGTATATCTGAGTTGTTCCTAATTCTGGCCACCAGTGGTTCCAGCGCCACAACATAGAGTAGGGGGGACAGCGGACATCCCTGACGCATCCCATTGGAGATGGTGAACAGGTCAGACACGAAGCCTGCATTTAGTACCTGAGCTGAGGGCGAGCTATATAATGCCCTGAACACTGATGTGAATTCTGTCGGGAAGCCGAATTTATAAAGTACCCGCTCCAGAAAGGTCCAGTGCAAGCGGTCAAAGGCCTTTTCTGCGTCAAGGGAGAGTATCAGGCTGCCCCGACCGTCCCGCCTTAAGCTGTGTATGATGTCCAAGACCTTGCATGAGTTGTCTGTGCCCTGCCTGCCAGTGACGAATCCCACTTGATCATTGTGTATAATATGGGGAAGGATGTCACTCATCCTCCTAGCGTATATTTTGGCGAACAGCTTCACGTCCGTGTTTAGGAGCGAAATTGGTCTAAAGTTTTGGGGGTGTGTGGGAGGCTTTCCGGGCTTCGACAGTGTAACTATGTGGGCTGCTAATATTTCTCTTCTAAGCGATTCAGAGTGTACCGCTTCTGTGAAAGCTTGAACTAAGTGTGGGATTAGTGTTGTCTGGAATGTTTTGTAGTAAGAATTATCTAAGCCGTCCGGGCCAGGTGATTTCCTTGTTGGCAGAGCTTTAATAGCTTCTCTTACTTCTTCATCTGAGATAGGGTTGGATAGAGTAGTCTGTTGGGCTAGCGATAGGCGGGGCAGGTGGATTGTGTCTAGATAGGCATTTATGCTTTCTGTCAGTGGTTGGTGGATGGTAGTGTCTTTGTTGAGATTATAGAGGTCAGCATAATACCTGGCGAATGCGTTACTAATTTCCCGAGGCATCATGCATTTTTCCCCATTTGGTTTGAGGAGGTACGCTATTTTTTGTTTGTTCCCTGAGTCTGGTGGCCAAGCTCGCCTTGTTACCTTGTGTGTAATTTGTGGCTTTCAATATTTTAAAGTAAAAGTTTGTGTGTTCTAGTGTGTGTTGATGGACCTTCCTGGTGAGAAACACGAACTTGTCTTTCAGCTCAGTGCTGGGTGCGAGTTGGTTTTGTGTATTTAGGTGACACAGCTCTTGCTGCCATTGTCGCAGTTGGATTTGTGCTTGTTTTTTAAGGTATGACACCCTTCTAATGAGCGGTCCCCTGATCACCGGCTTATGCGTGACCCAACGGGTGCTGTGGGAAATATCTGATGTATTGTTGTCTTCAAAGTAGTGCTGAAGGTGCTGTGTCTAATTCTGTTTTGAAATGCCTGTTGTGTAATAAGGATGTGTTTAAGGGCCATGGGCTACGGTGCTTAAAGTCGTATAGGTCTTTGAGGTCTAGGGTCAGGGGAACATGGTCGGACCATGTGATGTCTCCTATGTCACACTTAACAATTTGGTCAAGGGAAGTCCCCTGCAGGAGGAACCCGTCTATCCTAGAATAGGAGTTATGTATCGGCGAAAAGAAGGAGTAGGATTTTTCTGTGGTGTGTGTCAGCCTCCACGAATCATAGTAGTGGTGTAGCGTAAGGAGTTTTTGTATCGCTTTGCTCTGTCGTTTTAGGGTATGATACCTAGCGCTATGGGATGAAAGAGTGGTGTCCGTCTGAGGGTTCAGTACGTGGTTGAGGTCCCCACAGATGACGGTTATTCCCTGCTGTATTGCTAACACTTTTTGCAGTAACATGTGTAAGAAGTTCCGTTGGTTCGTGTTGGGGGCATGCAGATTTACAATTGTATAGAGAACGTCATTAACGTGACCCACAATTATAATGTACAGTCTGTTGATGTCAATTTCTTGCCTGACTAGTGAGAAGGATACGGCTGCACCAATCAGCACAGAAGTGCCTTTCGATTTTGTCGGGGATGTAGCGTGGAATTGGTGCAGATATGTGGTTTTCAGTATTATCGGGTGGTCACCTGTGCGGAAATGCCTTTCCTGCAAACATGCTATATCCGTTTCCTGAGACTTCAGCTCCCTAGTAAGTGCATGCCGTTTGTGGGGGGCGTTGAGTCCTTTAACATTAAGAGAGCAAAATCTCATGGGGGTCATAGTCTAGGAGCTTTGGTAAGTGTATGTGCGGCATATCTTTGATGGGGTCCGCTACCCATCCCAGCATATTCCAGCTAGGCAGCGGGGTCCTCTCGAGTTTAATAGGTGGTACTCGCGTTATGGTGTGTGTCACAGGTAGATGACTTGCATTGTGTTGTGTGTAGTCAACTTGTTTGTGGTCATCTATCGTGAAGGGGCTACCCACATAGCCCAAAGAAACTAAATAACAGTAAACAACATGACATTGTGGCATATATACATTTTGTAACATTTGGTTGTCATTGATATCATGGTCACAAATAAAACAATAAAAACATAACTGAAACAGTAACAGTGCCAGCAGGATGGCTTGGCTCTGCCTATCAGTGCCATGGGGGATGAAGCTTATGGCTTCAACAGGAGATGGGCGCTCCGCCACGCCGCCCTGATTTTTAAAACATAATGAGTTGCCTTATGTGACCCTTGTGGTGAGTATGGAAAGGGGGGGGATGGGAGGTGAACTAC